TATATATATATATATTTGAGCGCAAAAGTACACTTCTATTCTAGATTCCAGTTTCATCACTTGTTTTTGTCATTTCTACAGCCTAAACGCACAGCGTGATGACATGAGCAGTGATGGAAACCGTGACCCACGTGTGTGAGACAGAGCACATGAGAGACACGATAATTTCGACAGCAACTTGCACTGTAAATACATGATGACTTGGTGTAAGAGGGCAGAGGTGGTGCATTTCACACCCCTGGCCTGAATGGGGAGCTCTCTGCCGAGTGTGAGTCCTCTATCCGCTCTCAGCTCAGTAGCCTAATGCTTGATCTCTAAAATGGAGGGGTTGTGGTCGAGGATAGCCAGGATGATCTTGTCCATGTACTGTCTTAAACGGAAGTTGATCTCCTCTTGTTCTTTCAAAGCTTCAACAAGCTGGAAGGATGGAGAGATTGACCAAATGAGTGACAAAAAAAGATGATGCCTTCATGCAAAGCTAAAGGACATTTAGTAAGTTCCTCTAGATTAGAGCATCTGCTAATGTTTAGCATTCTATGTTTGTGTTTAGTATTTTATGGTTAGCAGTCTAATATTCACTGCCATTATAAAGCTTGGAAGAGCCAGGTGATTTTGAAATAAAACTCTGATTGTATTTGTCTGAAAGAAGAAAGTCATATACACCTAAGATGGCTTGAGGGTGAGTAAATCATGGGGTAATTTTCATTTTTGGGTGAACTATCCCTTTAGGGTACAGAATCGTTCTAATCATCTAAAAACAAATAAATTGTTATTCACTATTGCATAAAAGCAACAAGAACAACTAATATAAAATAATAATGATTAACAGGTGCAAGCATAGGCAGAGTTTCTATTTATAACACGTGTTTGCAAAGTTGATCAGTGTAACCAATCACAGACATATCTGTTGATTTCTGCAACGCAATGGCCAATCAGAGGTGTTTAAGTTAGAATCCACTCAACGCTCGAAACGCTGGAGTTCTTGTGCAGCGCTGAAAATTGCATGCTCACGAATCCTCTCATTATAACACATGAAGTGTAAACATATGCAGTCCCTCAACGGGACCAGGCATAGCTAGTTAGTGAGGTTCAGTATTCTGCAGGTCTCTGTACACTGTGAATGTTGTTCTCACCTCATCTCTGGAGGCATTGTCTATCTCTGCTGCCAGTGACTGGGCCTTGGTCTGACATGCGAACAGGTTTTTGGCCTCGTAAAGGCTGAGGCTGAGAATCTGTCCATTCAGATCATCGTTCTGGTCTCTGAATTTATGGTTCTCCTGTTAATGATTAAACACATCAGTGTGCACATCATACTAAATGCAAGGAAGTATACAGTATGCATTTATATAATATACAGCAGTGGATCTCACTAGGGGGACTCAGCACACTTCCAAGGGAGCCACAAAATGGCTTAATATGATTTAAAATAAGACTATACAAGTTTTAAAATAAGCTAAAACAGCTCAAATCAAGGCATATTTCCTATTTTAAGTTGTTCTTTTAATAACTCTCATTTTGCTTAAGAACCAGGATTCCCATGGCCTTGGGAAACCAGCTTACTGTATATGAGGGAATTTTAAAAGTGTGATTTCCAAACCTGGAAATGTCACAGAAATTTCTCTAATGCATTAATCCCATAATTACAAAAGACTGGAAATATGTCAGTTCACTAGTCATAAAAAGTGTGAATCCTGAAATATATTAAAGTTCTTGAAATGCCTAGAATTGTGGAATGTAATTGCTTTTAATGTAACTAATTTTACATTAAAGGATTAAGGATTTTAATATATTGCCAATCCTAGTTTATGTAAATAAATAAAAAAAAAAAAAACTGAAAACAAGCAGCTTTGTCATTACAGCAAATATATCTTAGACTACATGAATATTGTCTTGGAGAGTGGAAGGCCTTGGAGTCAAAAAGAACCACTGATACACAATATATTACATATTATTTATAGCAATTCTAATTCATATCCTTATATTAAAATCTGACCATATTCAGTGAATAATGATTTTTTTTTTAAATATAGTGCATTTAATATAGTGCATAAGCCACTTTTGTGATACTTTCATGTGCTTTTTGGAGCTTGAGAGTTGTTGTAAAGTGTACACAGAAACCGTATAAACAATCATGGACCTGATTGATTTGCAATGATATTGTAAGGTAACATATCACAGACAGCACAATAAGCAATATCTTTCCACTGTACCTGCTTAAGCCGTTTTACTTCGTGCTCCAGTTCAATCTCTCGAGTCTTGGCATTGTACTCGGACAGTCCTGCGGCGTTACGGCCACGGCCGGGCTTCTCAGCCTCCAGTTTAAAGAGTTGTAGGTGCTCCAGTTCACGCCGCAGGTCCTCAATCAGCTACATGCATGTGTGAATTGTGTGAGAGGTCTGGAGATTTGTTTATGTATGCATATAATTCTAATCTGCAATGAAAATGACACTGTGTTACCTCCTGCATGGCCTCTCGCTCCTTCTGAAACTCATGTCTGTTCTGCCAAAGTTTATCCATAATTTTCCTGTACAGATCCATCTCATCCTTCAAACGCAGGCTTGTATCTTCCAATTTATCAGTCATACGTTGCTTCTCCTGTGCACAAATATACATAGCGAGGATATAGTTGTTGTGTCTAACATCATTGTCTCTATAGCGAGACATTAATGATTTAAAATAAAGCCACACCCACATATTTCTCAACATCATCGCTTTAATGACTGCTAATTAAATTTGTAAAATGTTAACCTTACATCAAGTTTTTTGACAACTGGTTATATTTACTTAAGACAACAAAGCATATTTTCATTAATATTGCAAACAGTTTACTTTTGCTTAGAACACCAGCTAATTTATAAATCTCTTGATTACATCTGAATGCTCAGTCTTGTGCCCAAGACACTGTGGCACTAGGGATGCTCCGATCGATCGGCCAGAGATCGGTATCAGCCGATAATCACATTTCATGACTCGATCGGTACTCACTATTTGGCCGATCTCACGAACCTGATAAACAAACACTGACCGGAAGTTAACTTCGGGCTGGGCAAGGCGCGTGCGCCCGATGAAACCGGCTATAAAGCTTGAAGCATCAGAATCGGCATCGGTATCGGCCGATCACCATGACAAGAAATCGGTACTCAGTATCGGCTGCAAAAATCCTGATCGGAGCATCCCTATGTGGCACTGATATATCTGCTAGACAAAATAATAAATATACCCCAAAATGAAAATTACTCACCCATGTCATCTCAAATGTATATGACTTTCTTTTTTCAATGAAACACAAACAAAGATTTTTAGTAAAATAATCCATATGAGTCCGTATCATGCAAGTGGATGGGACCCTCAAAGTTGATGCTTCAAAAACCACACCTTTATTTCTGAGAGTGTATGGATTTAATGTGTCAACTTTGAGGGTCTCATCCACATGCATTTTATGGACTCACAGAGATGGGTTATTTAAAAAAAAAATCTTCATTTGTGTTTTACAGAAGAAAGAAAGTCAAAAACATTTAGAATGGCATGAGGGTGAGTAAATGATGATAGAATTGGAGTACCGATTTAAGGCATTTTAGAGATACTATTAATATTTCTTGTGAAGCTGCTTTGAAACAATGTAAAAAAAAAACACTATACCAATAAATTTGGCTTGATTTGACTTGAGTAAAAAAATCAAGACAAGTCAGTTCACTTGACAGCCATTTCTGGACCTCATGCAGCTGTTTTTTAGGTAGGCAAAACTAGGCAATAGGTGTACAAGTACGTCTCTCATCCACTTGAACAAACTTTGAAAACTTTGTGTCACCTGTGTATTTAATGTTTCATTGCATTTCAAATCAGCAATAAAATCTGATAACAATTTCACCATAAATGTAGCTTCTTTAGATGATTTGAAACAAAAAAAATGCATTTTTCAGCCTAGTCCACAAGAGGACCTTTAATTTTTTAGCTATATCAGACAGTGACCTAGTTTTTTTAGCTTTATGGAAAAGCTACAGCATCAAGTCGTGCAGTTGCTCGACAAGGTTTCATTCCTTCTCAGAGATCAAAGCCTCACAAGCTCTGCGTCTAATACAGGGCTGCTAATGTCATGCAGGCAGGGGCTTTCACACTCATTACACTAGCTAATGCAAGCAGCATGAAAGAGTGTGCTGTTAACACTGACAAGCTCCAGGGATTTCTCTGCCTGCTGAAATGTGTTAAAAGACATTGAGTCAGACACTGATCTGCTTCAGTGAGGTCAGAAGTGATGGTGTGAAAATGGATGTCTGAACGTGTCGGTGAGTGTTTGGTGCAAGATAGCAAGTAAAATCTTTTAATTGTTAAACAAACCATTTGACGCATAACCTGATGAGCTGATATATGATGTGGGTCATGTGCTTGTGGTGATGGTCAAGGGATTTTTACTCAAGAGCTTGAGATTTGATGCATATCTGACCTGGTCCAATTTTTCAGTTTGAGACTTGAGTCTGCACACATTCACTTTCATCTCTGCATTCTCTTCTTCCAGCTGCTGGACCCTATGGGGAGAAATTATCCATTATAAAGTAGTATGCCACACACTGCTCTTCTAACATGGTGTTTTAAGGTCTTGACACCTCCACATGACTCATATACATGTTTTGTTTTGTTTTTTCTGATAGGATACTAGGTACCTGTTACTAAGCAGTTCAATCTCAGTGCTCTTGTCTCTCTCCATCTTACTGTAGGCCTCTCTGTGTCTCTTCAGCTCCTCCTCTAAACATTGTTCTGCATGTGCCTCTTGATCTTTGATCTGCTCGTCCAGCTCATGTACCCTGATGGGTAAACATGTACAAACACATATAGACATAAGAAAACATATAGTACATACGCATAAGTCTCTTATGCTCACCAAGGCTGCATTTATGTGATCAAAAGAGTAATAGAGTATAAACATTAATACTGTTATATTTTGAATTTAATTTTATATATTAAATTAAAAAACGGTTATTTTAAATTGTAATGATATTTTAAAACCTAATATATTCCTGTGATGGCAAAGCTGAATTTTTGGCAGTCATTACTCCAGTCTTCAGTGTCATGATCCTTCAGAAATCATTTTAATATGCTGATTTGATGATCAAGAGACATTTCTTAATATTATTATTATTAATGTTAAAACAGTTGTGTTGCTCCATATTTTTGTAGAAACCGTGATGCGTTATCAAGACTGATGAATAGAAAATATATTAGCAGCAAAACAACAGCATTTATTACTTTTGTAACATTATAAATGTCTTTACTCTAATTCTAGATCAATTAAATGGATTCTTGGTGAATAAAAATATTTTGTTCCCAAAAAAGTCTTATTGACCTCAAACTTTTGAATAGAATTATAATTACAAATAAAGTAATAAATAATAAATCATCCATGTACATAATTACAATAAATTTATCAGTATGCTCTTTATACTGTACTGTGTCTGTAACTAATAGTCAGATCTCTTTACCTATGAACTAGTTGTGTGTTTTCCTGTTTAAGTTTGGATTTCAGATCTCCATTGGCCAGACTGTCGTTCTCAAGCTCTGTTATCTTCTTTTCCAAATAACTCACCTGCAGTAGAAATACATTCACAGGAAAACAGCATTATTATAGTGGCCTTAAAATGTATATCTAAAAAAAACATTATTTGAATTTTATGCATTAAGCCTAAACAATAAACAGGGTCTTCAGTGACACATTATTATGTTTCCAGGACCTTCTCAGTGATGTCAATGTCACAGGAGTCGATGCTGTCTCTGAACAGGTCCTCTGTGCTGCCCTGACTGCTGCTGAAGTTACTGTGGTGGAAGAGCTGACTGTGGGACACACAGAGAAACAGAGAATTAGAAAATGGAACTAGAGTTACTAATCATTCTCCTGTCTAACCAGTTAGTGACTTACACTGCATCCAAAATTGAATACTGCCATACTATATAGTAGGCGAAAAATGTATGTGAAAAGAGTAGCACAGTTTGCCTAAATTGACAGTATTTGGAAAAAAGACAGGCAAAAAGTACCCGGATGACTTACTACTTCTGCCGAGAATTCTGGAGTGTGCATTCGATGGACACTTTACTATCCCATGAGGCCATGGGAGAGGATTTATGAATGGCAGCGGAGTGACAAAACTGATGCTGGTAAGTCACATGACAGTAACACATGGCGGATGTAGTATGTCCAAATTTCATTCATACTACCCATATTAATGCTATACTTTTTAACAGTCAAAAAGTAAGTTCAAAGTCAAATGCAGTACCTACTCAGTATGCGATTTCAGACACACTGACAGTCAGGCAATGGGTATTAAGCCAGCGCTTTGTAATCTCATATTCTACAGATCTTGTGAAAATAACAAAGATTAGAGACCTACCGACCAAATGCTGTACTGGAAATTTTCCTGTTTGGGCTGTAAAAAGAAATGGAAAAAGATCCCTGTATTAGAAAACAATATTCATAAAAAAATGATATAATACCATGCAGAAAGTCCAGTTTAATGGATATCTACAGACAGATAGATAGATAGACAGGCTATAATTTATCTTCCTTAGTGCAACCCTTCAATCTGCAATTTCGTTTATTCAATTCTACTAAGCAGTTTTGTTTAGAGCCTAATTACTATTTCACTATTGCCCCAAGTGGCCAAGATCATGTACTGCATTCAGACTGTCCTAGGTCATGAGATTACACTGATAATCAGACAGCTCTGGAGGACCTCAGTAAAAATAGAATACCTGCACTCTAATTATAAACCTCTGCCTGGGTTTATGTAACTGTGTGACCCACGTCACTCTTAAAACCCCTTCTCTCATTACATCACAAAGATCTGAACTCAAAGCAGCTCTCCTGTCCTCATATCCAGCCCAGCACTGACAAAACACATTTAACTACAACAACAATGATAAAGCCAGACAATCTGCAAACCAAGGGACTTGAGGACAAATACACTCACAGCATTCACAAACATGCCCTCAAAAGGACAGTCGCACATAGTTCTTCATGACACATCAAGACCTGTTAAAGGTGGCTTTTGATGGCTTTTACACTTAACAGTGATTCAACAGCAGATCTCTGTACTGTAGACAAACAGACAGATGGATAGATAGGATAGATAGATAGATAGATAGAGATACACAATACTTATTAATACAATAACCCAAATGTTTGCTGATCATTATAGAGCAGTTCATATGGGTGCCAATCATGTTTTGCATGCATGCATTTTAACTTCAGCAGAGTATGCAGTGGAGGATTTGGACAAAAATGCCAGAGGATTAATAGCCAAAGGCCACAAAATGCCACATGATCCCACTTCCCAACCATCTCCTATTCAGCCTGAGAAAAGGAAATTACACAGCTCTTTCTGAACAGCCTCTCTTGTTCAGTTCCAAAAGGTAGCCACTTGATTATGCTGCCCCCTAACATACCTTATTTTATTATAATTTATAATAATAAAAATGTACAGGCAATCCCAGAATCCAATACATCGAGCTCAGTAAAAATATTACTGTATTTCATTCAGTTCTGAAAAGTATCAATAAAAACAGTTCAGTGTTATTAGCGTCATGCTAACCTCAAACTCTATGGAGTGCAACAGTCGGATTCTAGGATTCTCATTAATTTTCTCTAGAGCAGAACTGATTTTGAATGATAACTTACAGTATAAACCTTTAAACAGACCTACTCTGAGCTACAAGGTTGTTAATCAATGGTATATGGTTTTGTTGAAGCCATCGGCCCGCATTATGTCAACTTATTTTTTAAACAATTGTGTTCAACAGCAGAATTCCTGGTTAAAAACAACATTATCCATGATTCTGCAAAAAAAATAAAAAATTAGATAAAAATTCCACAAATCACAAAATCAAAGCAAGCAAATCATGCCCAAAGAACTCTTTAGCACCTACATGCAAATGTCAGTCTCCCTACCCACTCAAACTACTTAAATATTTGCATACATACTATACATATTTTATAAACGTAAATTATGTTGTCTCTCTGTGTATAATCAACATCTTTAAATCAACAGTTTTATATTTCTTCATCATTTCAATTTGATTATATGATTTGCACTTCTTCATGGGATTGTAGCTCTTTCCTTCACTAAAGCTATTAAGTACAGTATTGCACTGTAGCTTTTTTTTTTTAAGATTTCTAAATACTTTTAAATCAAACTTTGTAGTGAAAGTAATTTTACTTTGTAAAACTTTGTGTAGCGTCTGGACCAATCAGACACACCATTTTTTTTATTTGATTTAACAAATCAATTATTCATTAGATTAACAAATAATCACAGACCCCTCACCCAATAAACATGCTGGGTGCCAGGATGTCTGCGAACGAACAGGCCTCTGATTCCATGGCAACCAATGCTGATATCACTGGTTTTATTGCCCAAAGGAATGTGGATAGAGAACTCACTCATTTTCCTCATAAGACAGACACATAATGCCAAGAGAAATGGACTGTTCTCTAATTAATTCATAGGAAAACCTTTCTTTGAATGAACACACATATCCTTCAGGTCATTGTGTATGTTGTTACTGTCCTTGTATATTGGCTTTTATATTGTATACTGTTTTATGCAGGCTTATGATAGAACCACTCGTTCATGTCATCTTACCTATATGTAATCCTACCATGTTTAGTATCTATGAATTCGTCTTCTGATGATCTAAACGAGAGTGTATATTATATGTTGGTACATAGGCAATATATTAGTGTTCTGAGAATCTTTAGTAATTTCGATTCAAGTTCCATATGCAAATTACCATGCTTTCACACAAAGGGTCATAAAACTCCCCAGTATTTCCAAACTCCCACTTGGGATTTCAGCCTTTCTCATTGGACAAGCCCATCTTGAGAGGCGTGAATCTTCTCAGACCTTAAAGGCCTCACATCAGTGACCCACCTCCAGTCTGCGGTTCTGTTAGATTCTGAGAAGATGTGAGCTAGAACGCTCCTAAGGACACCCTAAGTTCACGCCATGCTTCGGCCTTGACTTTCCATTCACCGGGATTCTCTGACTCAAACTGGTTCTTTTTCATCAACCAACTTCAGCAAAGATCAACTTGAGCCTTCAGATTGCATCGTTTATGTAGTTAATAAAGTCTTACTTGTATCACACCTGAGGTTGTTCATTGTTGGCTCATAATCGTAGCCCCTAATCATGCAGATTTCTGCTACATGCTAGTACATGAGTAGTATTGTACAGTAAGAAAGTTATTTCCCTTAGCCAGGAAATTAACGTTCTTAGAATTGACACAGTTGACCCTGAGAGGTCAAGTAAATACTTACAGTGGATCTAAATATTTATAATTAATTATAACTAGTTATGATTAATTATTCATATTTCCCCTTTGAGCTGATTCGCTACATTTGTGATTGTCCTCATATTTAGCTATTTTGGTTTATACCTTATAACTCTTAAACAAAGACCTTTTGAAAATCCCTATGGGAAAAATGAATAGGAAAAATATTTCCGGAACCAAGGACGCTGAAAAAGTGGGCAGGTACTGTTGCACTCTATTAAAGTCAGTTGTGTCTATTGCCTATTTGTTTGCTGTGTCTATACTTCTGAAATAACTCATGTAGTCCCATGACGGTCAAGATGCTGTCTTAGAAGGCAACTGTCTATGTACAGTAGGAAGTATGTAGTGAGGCAGCTCACTAGGTTTTAAGATAGAAGATCTCTGTCTGCAGTATAATGTCTCGGTGTGTCAGCAGCAGAGGTGGAAACCTCATAATCCCATGATGCTTTAAATATAGTTACAGATGAAAGATTGCAGTGTCGTTCTCCTGAAGTGCCAAATTTGTTAGGTGTCCACATAATAATAAAAGGATTATTTCAGCAGTTTTCATCAAATTCCACCACACACACCCACTTAAACACCCCAGGCTTTTCTTGAGGGGCTCAGTTTTCCCTCACTGTCTGATAACATTCACAAAGATTAGTAAACCCTTGACTGGAACATTGTTGCTATGGTAACAGCTCCTCTGATGAAACCCATCTCCCGATACAGCTTTTGACAGACCGGGGTGATTAAAGAGACTCATAAAAATATATCTAGCTTTACCTAGAGTGAACTGAGACATAAAGAATCCTCTCAGAAGTGCAGTGCTATGCCATTTAATATGAACTATGGATGCTGCAAAGTTAAGGGCACTAAAGACAGCATTCAGACTGAGACATGGACATGTAACCGCTGAATCAGGAAAGACAGGATGCTAGATAAACCATCCTTATGCATCCTAAAATGGCTCCAGAAAAAAAAAAACATAATTACAACATAAATATATTTCTAGTTCATTATTAATATGCACTGCATCAATTAAGAAAATAAATCCAAGATGGCGAAAGAGGCAAGACAAATGTAAATAAATACATGTATATTTCAATCAATACCCAACAACAACAAAAAAAACATGCAAATAAAAACGTGTGTAATCAGAAATTGTTTCCCCAATATTTGTGTTATTTGTGTATTTTATGCTTATAGAGTGCTGCAGGAATGAGTCCTGAAAAACAAATAAGAGTTAGTATTTTTGAACTTTGGGTTCCATCATTCTATTTTTTATTTTTTTAATGGGTTTTGGTTAATTGTTTGAAATAAGGTCTGTGGTTAACAGAAGCTCAAGATATTTTCACATTTTATTCTACTACATAGAATACATCCGTAATACCCCCCCTTGGTGGCTAACTGTGACTAGAGGTTGTCGCAGACATTAAATGTCATCATGGCGAACAGGAAAACTCATCTACTCACTAGTCCATTTTCACAGTCTTGTGTTCTAACTTTTCACTCTTGCAAACTACCTCAAAATTTTAAATTTTAAATTAAGACTAAAAGTTTGCGTAAACATTGTGATGGTGATGTCATGCAACCAAGGTGTAAGTTAATCTATAGCCTTACTTCAGCTTTTTACTTTTGGCGACTGTATTTAGGCTTCATAAAAGTTGAGTTCATTTGTGCAGATTATCTTAATGAAAAAAATGCGTAACAATCAAAAACTTTTGTTTTCACAGAGATTATTTTTTGCAATAATCCAAAAGCCAATGGAAAATCCTACTGGCTTTTTGCTGAGGGAAACTGTGTTATGCTAATGTCCGTGTTGGACTACAAAAATACTGTACATCATCCCTGTAGCAATCTATTAGAGTAACATGCCATTATCTTAGCAATGTGCTCATTTCAAACTCTGTCGTCTCTTACCTGTTAGCTTTGAGGTTCTTGAGTCTGGCCTCTAGATCATTGAGCAGGTTGACTTTCTTGCAGCACTGGGAGCAGTAAACATCCAGAAGCTCACTGCTGTACAGGTGCCTGATCTTCTGAGGGGTCTGACCAGCACTGGAAACACCATCAAGTGATGATCAATACTGGCAGTAGAAGCGTTCACATTTTACTTGCTCAATATATTTAATAATATAATAAGGTAAAATCAAATTTTGCATCGTTGGAAAATCATTTCTAATTATATGTTACTGATTTCATGATAGGATAATTATCTTTGATTCAAGCAGAGTCACACAGAACAAACGAGAACAGCTAACAACACAAAACTCCGACTATATGACAAAACTATTTCATAATTATTAGCTGTTGTGATTTTATGTTTAACAATGAGACGATTAATGGCTGTCAAAAGCATTAATGCAAGAGAGCGTATTTGTGTCAGAATTATAACTACTATGCATTAATAATATTCTTAGTGACTCAAGAAAATATATCTGTCATATTTCAACCTAAAAAAACTATTACATTAAATTTGGAAAATGTGGAAAGATTTATTTATTTTTTGCTATTCTCCCTTATTCATCCATGCAATCAAATGAAACCGATCATACAGAATAACACCATATGTCAGTATTTTATGCAAGAGGTGTATACAAAAGTGAGTTAGTTAACCTGGAGGGCAGAGAGGAGCCCAAGTCAGAGAAACCATTGGTACGTGTGTCATCATCAGGGACGGGGCTGCTGGGAGTGAAGTCCACATCTTCTCCCTCTCCATAGTCCTCAAACTGCTCCTCCACTGAGACTACTGAAGCTGCTGCTGAAGACACCATCTGACCACAGCTAAAACCAAAGAGACAGGTCGCAGGTCTCACTTTATGTACTCATTCTTACAGTTTTTACTTATACAATTTTTTATTTTATTATTAATTTAATTAAACAACAATTATTAAGTTAATATTTTAACTAAACTTCTGGCAACATATATTTTGCTTCTTAAGCTCAAATAATGTTAAAACAACAACAATAAAAAAAACATAATAATCCATGATGCTGACCTGTTTCCACGTAGTAAGAGTTCACCCAGTCCTTCTTTATCATCATGACGTCCTCCTTCAGAAGATTCAGATCCTGCCCCGCTGTCTCCTGCACTGTCCATGTCTGACTCTTGCACGTCCCGTCCGACCATTCCTTCCTCATCAGAATACAGCTGGCACTCTGGGTACGGTCGCGTGCACACAATGATCGGGGGTCCCAGACTCCCCTCCCCGTGCTGAAAATACAAAAACTGTTGAGTAAAGTTTGAATATTGCTCAAAAATCCAATGCAAAGTCAACATTAAAACTAGACCGGATTACTCTGACTTACTATGTGGTCTCTTCACACACAGAACTTACTGAGGTCAAATAAGAACTTTCAGAAATAAAAAGACCTTTCTCAGAGGGACATAAAAGATAATGGGTCAAAGGTTATGGAACCTTTGCTCATTAACCCCAGAAGGCACAAATGACGCCAAGACAGGACAAAGGTCATCATGGTGAACTGGCATGAAACATTTCAATTGACTAACGAATAGTAAGTCTAACAAAGAGAAGAAAAGGATGAGGATTTAGATTTCATGGCAGAGACAGAAAAGGTGCTCTCATAATGAAATAAGATCTAAATATTCTCTATTTAATTTATACCAATAATTTATACTGTATTTCTCACTGCTCACTCTCACAAGGTTTCATTTTTGTATATATATTTTTTTTTACATTCATTCTGTCCTACAACAAGTGCAGTTCAAAATATTAATTTACTTATTAAAATTCATGTCACATCTCAATGGCAGAAGGACAATGGGAATCAGCTGATGTTGCCCAGTGGCTCATTGTTATTTGCATGGACAGAGCAGAATAATCATCACACTATGAGAGATTGTTAAATCAATGGTAGGTCTTTATATATGTTTAAATACATATATCTGACACTTTCTGTCTGTCTAATATGAAAGTGTATTTATATTTGCAGGTAGGTTTCTTCAAGCATCTTGGAGACGTTGCCCCAGTTCTTCTGGATTTAGTCTCTAGTCTCAGTTTGTTCTGATTCTTCATGTCATTCCAGATAGACTGGATGATGGTGAGATCAGATCTGTGTGCGGAGCACTGGCTGTTGTCAGACTCCTTGTGCATACAAAAAAATAATAATTTGCACTGGATTTTTACAATTAATGACAAAAGGAATGTTTGGAAATGTAAACTGATATTTCCTACTGACACACTACAGCAAAAAATAGAAATAACTGACTTAAAACCATTTTTTGTTAAAATACTAATGGCCTAAGACCTTTGCACAGAAGTTTATATTTCTTTAAAATAAATGCCAGTCAGTTTGATATTTAAATAAATTATTGACTTAGGCTCCCTAAGGAACAGGTTTAGACATACATCTAATACTGTAGGGATCTTTACTACACTCTCTATATTACTACTGCTTGATTAGCACAGGAATATAATAGTCAGTTGCTCTGCTCTTCTTTGATCCCTCGCTCTTTATGTTAAGTCTTTATGCTAAACCATATTTTCCCCTCTTCCTTATTTTAGGTTTCTCTTTTTCTTTACTCAGTAGTATAGAATGCATTTAAAAAATTGTCTTTCATTCAATCGCAAACTCAGCCTTTTCCCGAAAGCATTTCATTCGTATCAGAGTGTATCTCGGTGAGTACAGCAGTGTGCTAATGTGTATCTGAAGTGACCCCTCTCACATTCACACATCAGCAAGCCCGCTACCTTTCTTTGTAGGTCACACACAATTTTCGCTCACTTCTCCAGTCGCGCCACATGGCAGATTTAAGAAAAGAGACGTACACTAAAACAAAAAATAATTAAAAAACTGATGTAGGATTTTCTCAGAAATTGTTAGTAACTTTTACAAAGCAGTGACACGACATTTTGAACTAAAATGACTGAAGGTATTTTCTTGTACAACATACTCCATTAATCTTTATTTTACAATTTATACTGATTAATAAAATCTGCAGTGTAGAACCAACCTGCAGGATAACTAGCATATATATCTTTAAACTAGTCTTGTGCATTTATTAAAAAATGCCTTGAAGAAAAAAAGTTTATAGTCTGTCCGGTCTGATCTGAGATTATGCTTACAGAAAGGAAATGTAACGGCCGGCCGCAGGATTGAACATCACAGGTCTAGTCGCAAATCTGAGTAAAACTTTGATTCTTCCCACATGGCTGCATCTTTGGAGATAAGAGCAGATTACTGATGACTGATATCTGCATAGTCTTAATGTGAAGCTTTGACAGCATAATAGAGGTTCTCCCTGCTGAGCGGCGACTGGGATGAATGCAGCCCTATCAGATACACTCTGACTGCAGTAATGTAAGAGGAGGTGCAGGGGTCTCCTGCAGTGAGAGCCCAGATAAATGAGCTATAAACTAAGACCCCTTTTGGTCCGTCCCGACCTGAATCTGCCAGCCCGCCTTAGACAGAACTGTCTGGAATGCCTAGACTTAACATTCATTATTTACACTCTTCTACTGACAGACTGCTTTTAATGTTAGGCATGCATTAATACACAAAATTCTTCACATCATTTTATAAACCAAAAAATCCTATACACATATATCAGTAGTTATATGTATTTCACTGATGAAAGAAGTTAAAATAATGCTATTATCTTTTCACTCACCATTACTCTGTGTGCAGTGACAGTGAAGTGATTTGATTTTATGTGACTGATTAACTTACAATAAGCGTGATTTGTGGATTATTTATATTATAGACACACATTTTCTTTGAAATATATACCAATGAAGGGCAGCTTCACTTTAATGCAGTTGTTTTAAAATACTAAATTACAGGTATTAGAATTGTATTTTAATGTTTCGACTTACTGTTGAAAATCATAGCAGGGCCAGTTTGCAGATTTTGCTCTTTACTGATGTTTAAGATTAACATGATGGACTAATACTGTCATGTTGCAGTACTCCTGATCGCCCCGTACCTCCAGTGTTTCATGCATTATTGCTGAGTACGGACTAAGTTGCATCAAAACTTAAATACAGCTAAAATACAAAATCTGGGATATTAAGAGCTAAAATACACCCACCAATGTGTCCACATTGCTTACAGTGGGCTGAGTTGGAGGGATGATCATCATTAAAAAGCCAGTGACCCTGCTCTGAATATGCAGCCAGGTATCGATTCAAACATGATGCCAAGTCAAAGCCGCTGTATTCTTGCAGAGTGTAAGTGGGATTCCGTCGATGGTTATTGTGTAATCAAACACACTTTTATGTGTCATTATTGGCCAACAGCAATAATAATACTTTTAATAGCCTACTTGGCTAAATGGGACTTTCCAATAATGAAAATTCTGTCATCAAGCGAGTGAATTAAATGAATGAAGTGGTCAGAAAGCACACTACCATGCAAAAGTTTGGGGACAGTTGTTTTTTTTTTAGGGGTGCTCCGATTGATCGGCTACCGATTACTATCGGCCGATAATCACGGTGGGATGATTGATCGGCGGTCTCTAAAAAGGCCGATCTAAAAAAACCGATCTCAAGCTGATGACGCTGCCATGAGAGGTTTGGCACGACATGCAGTCTCTGTCCGGCGAGGGTGAAATAATTATAATGCTGAATGTGAGGTACTCACCTTCATATTTCTTCATTAAATAACTTATAAAGTAATTTGAAAACCTTGTGTGAGACGTAATTTCACAAACAGCGTGAGTGAATCACCGCGTGCGCGCCCTCTCTCTCAAAATACGCAAATGTCTTCAAATCACCACACAACTGTCTATAAGCGAGCTGCACGCTGCACAGTTGACACAGGAATTGTCACTTGCAAAATCATTGCAGTGCTGCAAGATGTGGTTTAGATGTGGTTTGACTTTTCTCTATAAATCTGGAGAAGAACAGCACTTCTTTACAGATTTGCCATTTTAAGATGACAGCAACCCACACAAACAAACACAACACTCAATTCTGGCTAGCGTCCAAAGTGCACCATCACATTCACAGCCTTTTCAAGTGCAGCTCACAAGAAATGTCAAGTGTGCACATAAACATGACAGAAAAACCTCTCAAATTTCTCATGACAACAGCGATCCCTAACGCACACAGTACTAGCTGCTGTTTTTGGAGATTTTTCAGGTAACAAACATTTTGGACCACCTTACATCCTGAATCTATACAGCAACTACCTCAAAACAATATGTAAAAATTATCTTAGAGTTTAAACCCTACATCTTGAAATAGCCTTACATTTAACATTACTGTTTTTGCTAAATGCTAGTTTTGGCTAATGACCCCAATGAACCTGTTAGCTGGCTAAGATCAAACACTTTAGTACACTGAAGTACTTAGTACTCATAACTCAGTTATGTTAGTGGAGTGACAACAGAAACATACTAGTGGGGGACATTCAAGCTGGCTGCTCATTTTCTGTATCAGTTGCGCTTGGCTGGTTTTGTTTGAGATCTCAGTGGAAATGCAGCTGGATAGCTGGCCATCTCACTGCCTACACAGTCAGCAGACAAAAGACAGTGTGGATTTACCGGGAGCCATGAGACATAATCCAGCTCTCGGGGCTCTAAAACTGTCGGTCGCCATTCTCTGGACGGTATCAAAGCAAAACACCCTTGAAAATGGTAGCCCAACAAACGCACAGAAAGACCAACTAGAGCTGCAGTTACACAATCAATACTGCAGGGGCACTTGGCTAAGCAAATTACCGTATTATTCCACAGCATGTGTAGGCGTCCCTTTGAAAGCAAGACATGTCGAGACAAGTGGAAATATGGTTCTCAATTTAGTTGCTCTAAGATCCGGGCACAATCATAAAAGTGTACCACTGACTTTAAAAGGTCGGTCACAAAATGTTAATCCAGCCCTCTCCCTTGGCAGAGATCTCAGAGCAATAGTCTGGATGCACCACATTATTGGGCTTTAGAGTGTCCAAACTGCAATTAACCTCTTGTCCCACATATAACACTGAATTATACCTTTTGCTGGGCTTTGCATTATGACGTCCGTGAAATGGTAGTGCAGATAGTGCCCTTGGTCATGCACAGATTCTCTGTTGCCCATGCAATAATAACCAGGCCTGATACAGCATTTCATAGCGGATCGATATCTAAAGCTGTCAGACCAGCTGCTAAATGACTAATCTTAAATGCAGTAGACAAGAGAACTGGATTGACTTGTGTACAGTACCTACGTATACAGGATCAGCTTATACTGAATTAGGGTGGATGACATTAAG